GGCATGTGTCTAAAAGAAGATTTCTCGCCTCCGCGGTCTCAAGTGTATTAAGCCTTTTGTAGTGGGCATCTGCCTGCCTCTTTATTTCTTTGCCGACTGTATTCATTCTTAGGTCTCGATGAATATCAGCATTTCTACAGTACCAGGGAGCATTTACAATGCCTCTTAGTACCTTGTTTTGAAAACGTTGTATAATATTAATTAATCATTGGTACATCCTCACAGGCGCGCACCATATGAACATACCGGCTTGATTATTTGTTTATAAAGAAGTAATTTGTTGTATATGGACAGGTGTGACCTTCGCCCAATTAGCCATTTCACTTTCGACAATTTCAGATTAAGTTCAATCCTTTTTATTTTAATATGCTCTTTCCAACGTAATCTAGCATCGAGCGTGTTGCCAAGATATTTAGCTGTATTTGCCTATGGTATGCAGACATCTAGAATACTCCGTAGGTTGATTTGCCACCGTCTAGTTTTATTCACCATTTTTTAGTCCAACTTACTACAGAGTTGATTGCATGTTGCAGCTTTAGCGCAGCTTTTTCTGTTGTGTTTTCGACGCATAGTATTGCGCTGTCATCAGCAAAAGTGGCAGTCATACTGTTTGGTGCTAACGGTAAGTCTCTTGTATACAGAATATATAAAAGTGAACCTAAGATACTTCCGTGATTAACTCCTGCTTCAATTTCTTTTAGTTTGGAGAATTCATTTCCTTGTTTTACACGGAAAAATCTCATGGTGATATACGATTCTAAAAGAGTACAATACTCGACCGGAAGGCATGATTTTGGTTTTTSCATAAGGGTTTTATGCCATACCTTGTCAAACGCTTGTGCAACGTCAAGGAATAAAGCTGAGCATACGTTTTCCTTCTCCAGGAATTTTTCTATTTCTGATGTTATACTGTGAATTTGTTCCATTGTTGAATGCTTATTTCTAAAACCGAACTTATGCGATGGGATTAACTGCTTAATTTTTCAAAACGTTTTGAGATTTGTTTAAGTAGTGAAATTGGTGTATATGACGAGACTACGTCACGATCCTTTCCTGGCTTAAGAACCAAAACAACTTCGGCAAATTTCCAAATGCCTGGAAAATGTGTCAGACGTATTGCTGTATTGAAAAGATGGGTAAGCTTCTGTAAACATTTGTATGGTAACTGCTTTAACACTTCAGCTGTAATTAAATCGAAGCCAGCGCGTTCTTAACTTTAAGCTATTTAATTTCACTTTTAAGTTCACAAATGGTGATTGCTGGGATTGTTGCATGATCCTGTTGAATACTACTGAGAAACGCGGTTTCACCATCTTCGTTTGGACGAAAGGTTTCAGCTAGGCGTTTTTCAAATACATACATACATTAGCTTTATCACAATCACTTCTAGCCCATGTATTGGAAGAAACTTTTAGTGGTGCAACCTGAGTTGTTGGACGTTTCAGATACTTTGTATTTTTCCCGAGTGAGTAATCACTTTTATTGTCAACGGATAGTTGAGATAAATATTTATTATTTGACTCATTCTTAATATGAGTAATTTCTCGTTTTATTTCTGCTGTTGCCTTATTAAGGTTGGTTTTGTCGAGAGGTGAGCGGGTTTGTTGCCATTTCCGTAACTCTCTTCTCTTAAATAGAGAGATTTTCATTTCTTTAGAGTAATTTCAACCTATAATTTTCCGCTTTATCTCCGAAGTATTATCCCAAGCTGCTTGTTGAATTTCTTTCGTAAATGTGTTGACTTCTAACTCTAGTTGTTCAATAGTTGTGATTTTCGGGCACTTTCGTTTAGTCTGAAGTATTTGTTTAAACGAAGTCCAGTCCATATTTTTATTGTATAGCTTCAGACTAAGATCTCTTTTGATTACTGTTTCACTTACTATCAAATATAATGGGGAGTGATCAGAGGTTAGATCTAACCCACCTTCTATTTCTATGAAATTTCGAGATATTTTCCTGGTTATAAAGAAGTCTATTACATACTTTTTATATATGTAAATATAAAAACTGCCTTGGWTATGTACGCATAAAAGTCCACAACTTGAGAAAAGTTTTTCCAATTGTAAATAAAAATAATTTTTACAACTGGCATCACCACCACTAACTGTACGTGTACAGTGATGTGTGGAATACAATGCTCGCGACAGACTGCAAACGACATCTGTCAAATATTAAAATACACACSTTCTTATGGACGGACCTATTTTGACAGCTGTACGACTACACGACGGCAGGCCGACAGTTGTCGTTCTCGCTAACTTCAATTTTATCCTATATTTGCCAACGACAGTAGGACGACAGTAGAGTTGACAGTAGAATGGAAGATAGAGAGATGAGGTAGAGTGGTGATGCCACTGATATATAAAATGTAATATTACTCAAAGCTCTAACAAACCCGACGTTATTTTACAAATAAAAGCATAAAATAGCTCTGTTACATCATTTATAATAACAATTGATAATTTAAAACAAATAAATTTACCTATTTACTTATATTTTGCTTAAAAATATCACTTTGAACAAAATATTAAAATTTCATTGAAGTGCAAGGTATTAGTATGGTCACAACGAAATTGTGTACATGCAAAATTTACAACTGCGTCTCACAAACGTTCATGTAGTAGGATTCACAACGCCGTTTTCAGTTCACTGTCGTGCTGCTGCAGTCTGTCGCGAACATTGTGTTCCTCACATGAGATGAACAAAATAGGAACAACCAAAAGGTATTGTGAAGTTTTAAAATGTGTTGTTTTCTTCTYTAATAAAATTGTTTTTAGATACAAGTATTTCCCACCATTCAAATGTAATTAAAAACAAATATTAATGCGAAACTCTAAAACCTGCAAAATATTTTTACCTCTTCTTTTTCACACAACTGTATAATGCTGATATGAAGTAAATTTCCGCTCTTTAATTTGTGTACAATGTCAGTATTGCCGTAAGCATTCTTCGGTCATAGATAACTTGATAGAAATCTCTTTGGTTAGAGAGAGAGCTGTCAAAACTTGCATTTTTTATAAAATTTCCCAATAATGCCACTGCTAAAAAATATTAGATTGGGCATTTTATAAACAACTTTTGGGCAATTTGCAGTTTCCACATTACCACTGAGGTATGCAAATAGCGCGTTACTGATGTTATTTTTGGGTGCTCGGCTCACCAGTATTCCTATATCACCCATATATGTATAAAAATAATTTTATCTACTACTGACATTTAATTTTACAAAATTTTAACTAATTTTGGCAGTTCGTTTTAGCGCTACTCTTCCGGCATCCCGCCTTTTTAACTAACTACTGGTTGACGGGACCCTGATTGTGTTTTCTTGTCAGCTCAGCAAAAAGATCAGGGTACGCTGCCAGCTGACAAGCGAGAGAGCAAGAAAACAGATTCTGATCACTTTATCTATGCTGCGATGAACATCAAGTTTCGTATTGACGTAATTGATTTTTTCCCAACTTTTTTTACCCTTCCCTCCGCAAACTGATATTCCCTTCATCTAGCAATCGTTCGCACTTTGCCAACTTTGCGAGCTAAAAATTTGTCCTAGTGCCTTAAGATATTTCCCTGTCATTGATTTTTACAGTTGCAAGAGTATCAAATGTGCGGTTGCACCCGAACTTAGTTCTTTCTTCCTCTTTTAAAATCCAGTTATTCATACATCAACAGAATGTGAAATAACATAACAGAAATAGCAATAACAGTTGCATGTAAACATAAAATAAGTGTTATCATATTTTGCAAACGAATAAAAATAAATAAAAAAAGGATTATAACTTCAACACAAAATTCTTTATCGTGTGATGAGTAACGCAAATCAGAATTTCCTTTCTCTTGATAAATCCACATGTTGGATCGACACATGTTAAATATAATTGAGATCAATTGGGAATCATGGGAAGATTACCTTGAATAACCATAATCCACAAAAAAAAAAAATTATAGGAGTTATAGAAGTTTTCATTAAAACTTAAAATTTTTCAAAATGATGTAAAATGTAGATTTAAACAGTTTTATTAAATTACTTCGCATTAAGTTTTTTACTTATGTACATACATAAAATATGTATTCTGTAATTTTTGGCGGATGTATTTTTACTTTGTAGTGATCGTCATTTATATCATTATTTGTATTTAAATAGTAATTTAAAATTTCAAAGAAATGCATTATATCATTTTTGGATGACGGTTGAAAAATTTCTTCTTGAATATCCTCATTGTGTTCCATGGTGCTAGAAGTCATATTCGTTGGATCTGAAATATTTGGTTTTACAATAACAGATGACAAAATCTGGTTGAGCAAATCTATTCYGTAATAGTAACATTTTATGGGATAAATACGCGCGGCGACTTTTTCATGAATAGATGAGTCAATTTAAAAGTTCGATTTATGGAAGGAAATTGAACTTCTATTGCCAATTCAAGAGTTCGAAAAGAAAATATTGAATAAGGATAAAAATTGGCTTGTGCACTGCATGCATGATGCGTACAAGAGTTTGTGAATGTGATGCGAAACCTCGTGTGAATACTATGGGGTCTCCGACCTTTCTTTCGTGGCAAAATTATTTATTAATAAAAGTATTTTTAAACACCAACACAATTAAATTAAATTATAGAAATAGGTATAGTATTACTCCTGTAAACACATAAAGTGTAAAATAGTTGACTTAATTGAAACTATTAGGAAATAAGAAAATGTACCACCAATTTTTGGCGTTCGATATTGGATTATTTATTGTCGCACTTTATAGTGTAATCCGTGTAAGTACATATACGATTATTATCCAGGTATTTATACATAGAACATACTTTGAACTAATAAAATGTGTAAAATTAGTTATAAACGTGGTTACATATACATTAAAAGCATTATTACAATAGTTTATTGGACACGATTTATATGCTATTATTTATATAATGAATACAAAACTAGTTTATATTTGCTATACGTATATATACGAATATATACGGTTTTGCGGAACGCATTACAAATATTTGTAAGTTTAAAAGCGCGCGAAGCTAAGAAGATTATACATACTTGTATGTATGTACATATGTACAAATTACTAAGCCTTAGATACATAATCCATCGTATACGCACCCAATACTTGTTTAATAAGTTAAAAACCCTTTAATAAATTTGCGCAAACTAGGAAGGTAGATTATGTTTGCATTTGTTCAACTAATCTAAAATTATTATTTCGCACTTTGGATGTCAGCTTATGTTTTTATAAATATTCACTATATTAATGTTCGTTGGTTATATGTATGTGTGTAGTTACAAATAGTTAAGACCTTTTATTAACAGCGTTATTTGAGATTTTCAAGGTATTTATACACTTCTAGCTTTTTTTGTTTTATCATGGAACGCATCGATATTGTAAATGGATCAAAATTCAAAAACCGCTTCTTTCTCCGGAAAACGCCTTCTCTTCTTATTAAAGTACAGCTGAAGAGTTCCTGAAATCAGAAAATTTAGAAGATATACAGGGGTGTTGTGGAATAAAAGACAGAATTGCTTAGCTGTCAGAATTTCAAACCAATTCTGATTTTCAATGGTGTCACAGAATCTGATTGGATTTTTGTCTTTTCGAACATATGCAAAACCAATATTCGAATCAGCTGTAAAATTGGTTTGGTGCAGCTCTATAAGCACCAGTCGTCGGTATAGTAGATAGAATGAACCACATTACCGCTACTAGATGTCAGCTGACAGCTCTAGTTTACCTACAATTCTCATTTTAATTTCCACGTATACTATGTTTGCAAGCACTTGTCAGCCTAGGGATGGTAAAATCGATTCCGATTCTACTCGAGAATCGAGTTTTCTCGTAAAATAATCGATTTTTCGGAATCGATCTTCAGTAGTCGAAGTCGATTAAGAATTGATTCTTGACATTCGGCTTTACTATTAATTAAGTGGCTAGTTTCAAGTTATACATACCTCAGTATATACAGGAATAAACCTTTGCTTTGTTCGCATATATATACTCAACTCTAGAAAATCTTAGGGTGTTGTGTAATACTTTTTTGCTACTTTCATGTTAATTATGGAATTGTATGGTTTTCTTAAACTGACAATTAACTTATTGTTCTTTTACTTATTTTAAATTTATTTAAAAACTTGTTTAAACAACTTGAATTTAAAAAAAAATTTATATGAAATGTAATGTTCTTGGTACATTATTTAAAAAAATATAATTGTGTTTACCTTTTTTAGTGTTTTATTTAATCGATTTGAATTATTCATTCAATTTATGCCTCGTGATTTAATAAATATATATTTGTCCTTTTAATTTAAAATCGAAATAATCGATTCTTGCGCTGATTAATCGATTCTTAGAATCGAAAAATATAAAAAATAATCGGAATCGATTCTGTAAACAATCTATCCATCCCTATCCCAGCCACCGCATCGCTCATCACTCATACGTCCTGGCATACATTCGGTAATGTAAGCTTGTATGGTACTGTCCTGCATGAGGTCAGCCGTTTCAAATATTGGCTTCTGGTAATTTATGTAAATAAACCAATTACACTGGGCTACAAACAAATTTTTTGGTTTGGTGCAGCTCTGTGGGCATCAGTAGTCGGTATAGTAGGTAGGATGAACCACATTTCCGCTACTATATGAGTTTTTCTTCTTTTTTATGAACACGAGCTGATATGGAAAATGGGACTTGTTGTCTCGTATCAACTAACAAAATACATACAAAATGAGGTATAAAATCTTAGGCACCAAAATGAGTGTAGGCCGCTGTTATTTCAATTTGTTAGCACATCGATCAGAAAGAGGTTTTAGAGGCTACTCCAATAGTGTCAAGCAAAATATTTTGTCAATACTGATTATTTGCTTATTCTTAGTCACAAATAGGTATATCTGTCCAATTGATTTTCATGATATTGGTTCTTATAAACATAAATTAATAATCAAATTAAATACAACAAAATTAAATAATATATAATAGATAATATAAAGTAATATATTTATAATAGACATTTTTTTAAATAAGCAATACCATGTTATGTTTTTATTTAATTAACTTTTAATTTGTTGTTACCTCATTAATAGGAAACTCTAAAAAGTTAAGTATTCCTCTCAAAGTGACTTCTAAATTTCCAACCAAATCCTCATAGAATACAACCTTGATGCTGCCTGAGAAGTCTCGTGCCCAGCTTAAATTAGTCGCTTCCCACATTTTCAAATTCTTAAGTACGAACTTCTGCCAATCTGAAAAACAAATAAGATGTGAAATAAAATATTCTATGTAACTACCTGTTCTGATAAATATGGAGAGGTGTGAAAAAATATGTTTCTATAATAAAGGTCAGAAAACTGCCAAACGTCCATTATTGCCATCTGATCATAAATTTGTCACGAGTGAGTCAAATCGTTTAAAGTGTTATTTTGAATGTCAAGAGAGAGCAAATAGAATTATAGAGCTTTGCTTACACCATCTTATAAGACAAGTTGATCTTACTTTAAAATTATATTACAAAGTTCCTTCAAGCCCATTTAAAATGCATTGATTTTTTAAACACCCTTTTGCTAAATGTTTCGAATCGACTTTTAGTTGATGTATAACAGTATTGGTCAGGAACTAAGGACTACAAGTTTTCAAACTTTCTATCAGTAACTTTTTGTTTGTTGCTACAGTGTAGTGTATAATAGTTTTGTTAACCTTACCTAATCGAGATAGATATATGGTTATATATAAGCGATCAGGATGAAGAGACGAGACAGACGAACAGACAGTGACCAAAAAATAAGGTGACATTTGAATTTAAACTGCGCGTCGAAGGATTTGGAGAATTATTTTTTTTTAGGTTTTAGGTTTCTAGTACTGTCAATCACATTTATGTCAAAATATTCATTAGTTTTTGAGATACGTGTCGYTTTGTGAGCTGCTAAAAGTGAGTTTTTCGTTTTTTGCGATGTCGAAATTTGTTGAGCAAAGGATTTGCATCAAATTTTGTTCACGGAATCAATTTTATGCTGCGGATACGTTGAGGATGGTGCAGAAAGCCTTTGGTGATGAGGCTATATCTAAAAAAAAATGTTTTCAAGTGGTATAGTGAGTTCCAAGCCGGCCGTGAACTTGTCGAAGACGAAGAGCGTCCAGGGCGACCTTCAACCTCAACCGACGAAGCTCACGTTCAACAAATCAAAGATTTGGTGTTGAAAAACCGTCGMWTAAYAATTAGAGACCTTGCTGATGAAGTTGGCATATCGAAAGGCTCAGCCAATACCATTTTGAAGGATGTTTTGGGCCTCAAGCGCGTCAAATCTCGACTGGTGCCAAAAACATTGAATTTTTTGGAAAAAAGGCGTCGCGTTGAAATGTATGAAACGATGCATTCCGACTACCAGGGTGTCATGAAACGCATTATAACTGGCGATGAGACTTTGGTCTATGCTTACGATCCCGAAACAACCGATCAATCGAGCAAATGTCGTGCCAAAAGAGAGCCGAGACCAAAAAAATCTCGCCAAAGTTGCTCAAAAATCAAGGTCATGTTGACTGTTTTCTTCGATTATCGTAGTGTTGTGCATTATGAATTCCTTCCAACCGGTCAAACAGTCAACAAGGAATATTATTTGAACGTTATGCGTCGTTTGCGTAACGCTATCCGCCTAAAAAGGCCGGAATTGTGGAAAGACAATTTTTTGTTTTTACACCTCGATAATGCACCATCCCATACTGCCCTCGTAATTCGTGATCATTTCGCCAAAAACTCAACCCATATCGTTCCGCAACCACCGTATTCACCTGATCTGGCGCCGTGCGACTTCTGGCTATTCACCAAGCTCTAAAAACCGCTCCGGGGACAACGTTTTTATACGATAGAGGAGATTCAAGCCGCAGCGAAGACRGAACTGAAGGCCATCCCGGAAAGTGACTACAACCAGTGTTTCGAAGATTGGAAAAYCCATTGGCATAAGTGCATTGCATCGGRAGGGGATTACTTTAAAGGGGATGAAATTGATTTGGAAGAATAAAAAATAAATACAATAAAAATAATTTTCTGCATTATCCATGAATCCAATTTGCGCTCTTATTATTTTGTTAACACACTGTATAGAAATAATAAATGTAATATGTTACCGTATTTTTTTTTCAAACTAATAAGTATAGTTTTATAAATATTTATTATTGTCAAATGAAATAAAATATTATAATAATAAAAAACTAGCGATTCGTTATATAATGTGAAATCTCCATATTTTTCTTACATTTTCCTTTAGTTCTTTTATAACGATCGGGAGACGCAAATCCAATATGACCGCCACTTTGTCTATTAAATTCTGCCAATATCGCTTTCTCTGGGTCACGCACCAGTAAAATGGCCTTAGTAAATGGGTCCCATGCCTTAGGGCCGAATTCGTGAGTTTTCACTAACAATACAGAGTTATTACGTACATTCTCTGCCGGAAATCCAGTCTTTAACAACCCATAATCTTTGTAGACACTCCCCGTTAAAATCCCTTTAATTAAAAACGATATGTTCAGAAGTCACGCGTAAAACTAGTTCTATCAAAAAACCGCTGTAGCAATTTATTCGTAAATTGTGTTAGATATTATAATAGTTTATTATTTACCTGTTGCTTGCTGCAATAAATACCTAAGCCAGGTGTTACCACTTCCTGGAAATGATGCTAGGGCAGTCAGACCCGGTATTCGATATACAGCGTCATCTTTAATATTTTCAGTGGTTGCAACTAAAAAATAAAACGCAATTATTGATGATTTATGTAAGCATATTTTTCCTTTGACTTGTTCCTAATTTATTCACCAAGAATAATTTTCTTAGTTGACTAGTGAAGGCTATAGTCATTCAACGGAGGAGCATCTTGCAAGCAAGTTAAGCAGACATGAAAGGAACTGTGTGTATTGGATGCACTAAAATAGTAATACAGAAACCTAAAGAAACTCTCAAAGTAATCAATTAATTAAGAGAAAGTTTCTTTCGTTGACAAAGATCTTTTCGTAATTCATATATTGTGTATTTAAAGCAAGTTTTACTGTTGCAACAGTGGAATGTGTTGTCTTCTTCTGTACAAAAATTACTCATTGGTACAAAAGTTCTTTTCTGACATTTTTGTTCTTTTCATTTTGTATCTATATTTTTGAAATAGTGCTAAATGCGTTTCCGCGTATGAACGATGCCTACTATCTGTAATTTTTACACACTTTACTTACCTTTATTAGTGCTTAGAGCAGAAACAGTTGTAATCATGTTATTAGGTACGTTTGTTTTGAGATACTTAAGGCCGTTACACCAGCGGATATTGGCCTTGGATGTGAAACCACGGAAACGACTGTTGTGAAAATTTGCGAACTGAAATTGCACATTTATTAAAAACTGTTTACCGAAATTGGATGCTTTCTGTATGATGTTAAAATGAAATTTATAGGGATGCTATAAGTAAAGGAATATAAAATTTGAAAACATGTACATATGGATATGTATACCATACACACAGTTGTCCACAAAGTAATAGGATGACCAATATGAAAGATAAATTTGTCTGCATAACTCCACATAACGGGGCATTCACATTAATATAATTTTTTATTGTGGTGATCGTTCAGCATTGCTAGTTCTCGGATACCCTTGTTATTGCTTTCCATAAAAAATGGGAGTGTTCGACTTTTCTATAATATATGTTTAAGCCTAAAAAATAAAAAATAATAAATAAAAAAAAATTGCGTAGAGTTCCATAATACAGCAGCAATTTGAATTTTGTCTTCCAAGGCCATCAACAAAGAGCTAAATGTGTTAGTTAATGCTGAAACACCTCGTAGGCAAGTGTTACCAAACAAATATGTGACGATAGAATTATCCTTCGTCGTTTCTTTTTTTTTTTTTTTTGCAACGTGGCGCCAATTGAAAATTCTAGCTAAGCCAAGTCCTTCTCTACTTAGTCTTTTCAACGGAGTGGTGGCCTTCCTCTTTCTCTGCTTCCCCCGGCGGGTACTACGTCGAATACTTTCAGAGCTGGTGTGTTTTCGTCCATTCGGACGATATGACCTAGCCAGCTAGCCACTATCTTTTAATTCGCTGAACTATCTCATTGACGTCGTATATTGGCTTTGCCTCCTTATCTAGTCTGGAGAAAGCCGAACTAACGGCACGGGCATTGAGGACAATGATATCAATATCATCCGCATACGCAAGAGCTGTACACTCTTATAGAAGATTGTACTTGCTCGGTTAAGTTATGCAGCTCGTATTATTTTTTCCAGTAGCAGATTGAAGAAGTCGCACGATAGGAAGTCGGCTCGGAAACGTCCTTCACGATCCTGACAGAGCTTTTGTTATTTCTCAACCTGGGTTTACACAGCCGTATTAGTTTTATGGGGATATCAAATTCAGACATCGCAACATAAAAGCAGCTTCTCTTCGTGCTGTCAAAAGCAACTTTGAAATCGACGAAGAGGTGGTGTGTGTCGATTCTCTTCTCAAGGGTCTTTTCCAAGATTTGTCGCATGGTGAATATTTGTTGTTGATTTGCCAGGTCTAAAGTCAATCAGTTTGTTTACGGTGGGCTTTAATATTTCACACAATACGCTCGAAAGGACTTTATATGCGATGTTTAGGAGACTTACCCCACGAGAGTTGGGAAGAGCACCCTTCAATTCTAATCAATCTTGGGCATGCTTTCGTCGACAATCCATCGGTCCCCGCCGCTTTGTTAACTGCTATTCGAACATCTTCATGAATCGGGTATACTTTCACTGGCATTCAGGGGGCTGGAGAAGTGTTCCAGATCACCTTTGGGAGTTCTACAAGAGTATGCTCCGGTCTTGAAATCTTCTGTTAGTCGCTGCAGCTTTTCGTAGAATTTTGAAGCAATACCCTTTATGTCTGTAAATACCTCTCGCTTCTCTCTTCAACTCATGGTATCTATCCCATGTGTTGTGGTCTGTTTTCTCTCCGCTGCGACACGGAACACCTCATCGTAGCAGCTGTTCTCTTTCATTTTCCGAGAACCAATGATTTCGGTTGCAGGTGTACGTAAGGAGCTTGTACGTGCCACAACATGATCGATCTGGTTGGTTGATGAACTCTTCTATGCTGGAATCTAGTACTACAGATGACCATATTTCGGCCCAGATGACCATTGATCAGCCTCACGTCATTTGCGGATGTTTTCTCGTGGAGGCTGAATTTACCGACTGTTGTGTCAAGGAAGTAAGGAAGGTATTCTTGTCCACTCTGGTGTTAAAGTCGTCAAGCACGATTTTGACATCGTGGCGGGGCAACTCTCATAGGTGCGCTTCAGTCGGGGTGAGGATCCAAATCGGCGATACGTTGATTAACTTCGCTTTGACGCGGATTGTGGCTAGACGTTCATCCACCATGTGATCGACAGTACTCGGYAGCGGAGTCTCTCTCCCACCACGAATCCCACACCGAATTTTCGCTTCTTTATATGACCACTGTAGTAAATACCACAGCGACCTACTCACCTTAGTCTTTGTTCCGTACCTCGCATTTCTTTTACGGCGATGATGTCGGCCTTCACTTTAACGAGGACATCAATCCAATTAATTCCCATCCGAGACTGTTTATGCTTTTTCATTGGTAGTGTTTTTTTACGTGGCGGGTCACAGCGCACAACAATGTCGAGGTGATGTTTCGTCTCAATTTAGGTCGCCTTCAAAGGGATGTTTTCTGGCTACCCAGAGGATACTTGGTCAAAGACCGGAAGTCGTGACCCATATGTAAAAGAATCGTTTCTGGTCACTCCCAAATAAATGGCAATCAGAGAACTTTCCTCGCTTGCGTGAACTTCAACACATGACTCTATCGGCGAAAATTGCCGCTACTAAAAAAGGAACATGTAGAACCCTGTATGCAATTTGAAAAAAACTATGCCTCCTGGCTGGTGGCTAAAAGTCGAAATTTATTGTCGTAAGATGATATCAAAATTGTTTGGTAGTAAAGTTCTGAAAATTTTGACTGGTGTCTCCCTGATACGGAAAATTTTTCCTGATTTACAACAAAAATCGTCAAGCATGGTGTCGTTTAAATCACGCCAGGGGTAGCTTTTCACATAATTCAATTAATCCAATTCTTTTAATTGAATACGTCATGGATCAAGTGGTATATGTCAAAATATTAGATGAGGTAATGTTTCCACATATCTGAGAGAATATAACATTAATATGTGTATATCAATGGAATAATGATTTTAAATATATTATTAGGTTCGCGAAGAAGTGGTTTTAGAGTCAACAGGGTTGAGGTTAAGCCTCAGGCTGTGCAGTTTCTTTGCCGAAACTCCAGAAAAACGTGAAGGCCGATATGAAAAAGTGTTTCGAAAGAAAAAAAGCAATTTGAGAAATTTATGGCATGTTGTGAAAACGGTTGGGCAGGATTAACATTTAAACGATGCCAAAATTTCATAGGATCTATTTGCGAAGGTATTCAATCAAATGTGATTTATAGCGGGATTCTGTAACCAGTCTCTATTCTCTATTTGAGACATTTTGTGGTAAAATCTCAATTTGTGACTAGTTACTATTCACTAAACAGTCTCTAGCTTTAGTCTCAAAATATTGCCTCAAATCTGAGACCTGGTTGTTAGCAAGGCACAAAACCAAAAAGAACTTTTGTCTGCTATTTTGAATATACTGAATAGAGATCACCATAGATATTAATCGATTGTAGTTTTTTTATATTTTGTAAGCAACTCAAACATGAAAAGGTTAAACATAAATAAATTTTACATAAATTTCGTTAATATTATGAAACAAAGTCAACATATATTTTTATTTTTATTGATAATTATGTTTTTGACTATGTTATAGAAAATTTAATATTTGTTATCGACATATTTACTTTCATTCAAGCATAAAAACATCTCTGAATAATGAAATATTATAGAGTTTGTGACTATCACTTACAGAGTAGCAAAATCGTCCCAAGTCTCAAAAATTGTCTCTGTCAAATTTAAATACTTGATACTGTATCACAGTACAGAATCGCCCTGTTAGTTTATTATTATGTAAAAGTTTGAAACCATTTTAATAAAAAAAAAATACAATTTTATGTCTTAAAAAATATCCTATTTTTATGTGGAACTAGTTTTTCAGTTCATTTAATAAAACTGTAATATGAAATTTTCTTTGCGTTTAATTGAAATAACTGGACTATGAAAATATGAATACATATTTAGTGAATATGTTGCGGATTTTTATTAAAAATTATGAAATTCGTTTCGTTAATGTGTCACTCCTATTTTTTTGTGGACAACTGTAAATAAACCTAAATAAAAAATATATGATTCCCACAAATCAGATCTCGTTTTAGACAAATATATTTAAAAAAATATTTAGCCCTTTAAGTTTACAGTAAGGCTAGGGATTGGTGGTTTAAATGTATACTTTCAATAAGAAAAACATTAAAAACGCATACACATACAGGGTTTGTCCGGAAAGTAATAGGACTAATTTTCTTCCGCCGCGACTGTTCTTCGGAGCGTGCGCGCACCGACTTAATTCGGCAGAGGGCGATCCTGTCTAAGGAACGAGCGACTGGCCAGTTGTCTCGAAGCACCTGGAAAGTCAGGCCAAACATTTTCTTGCGACGTGTTTCTGTGACTAGTGCAAGCCGAAAATGCAGCAGAGGTAAACGATTAAATTCTGTGTGAAACTCAGTAAATCTACGACAGAGACTATTGATATAATCAAGCAGGCTTAACCAGATGTGGCTTTAGCAAGAGGTGGTGTGTTTCGGTGAACCAGGCATTTTTGGAGGGTCGGCAAGAGGTCGACAAACACCGATAATGCGACTTGTGTGCGCAAAGTTTTGACACCGGCCCGTCGATTAAGTATTCGTTTTACTGCCCAGATGTTAAATTTGACGAGTGGATCTTTGGGTATGATCCCAAGACAAAGAGGCATTTTGAGACGACAGAGTGGTTCCAAGCAGCATAGACCTCCATTCTCAAGGGTATTCCGGAGAATGCCTTTCTTTACGCAGAAGGAGCCTATTTTGAAATCGACTTAGTTCTATTACTTTCCGGACAAACCCTGTATGCAATACGACCGAAACTGTATTTAAAGGAATTGGGGAAAGAGTACGCATAAATGTATGGAGTTTAGCTTAGTTCCATAATTATTTGAAGATTATTTTACGAGAAATAATTTTTTGCCATTTGTTAAAACAGCTACACCTTTAATATTATAAATAAATTTATTAACGAATAAGATGATACTTAAATCTAAAATGTAGTATAATAAGTATATTAATTTAATTCAAAAACTTACCTCAGAAAATCTTTCGATGCGTTCATTTTTCTGATTTGAGCGAGGCGAACTATTTATTGAAAATAACAAAACGCTGCATATATAAATAATGATTATTACTGATACTCCGAATAGCCGCCAGCTTTGTAATATCATTTCGTATTTCTTTCATTCCTAATAAATTTTTTCCCCTAAAAATGTATAAACTGAACATTTTGTAATGGAAGGACGAAGTACATATGCATGTATATGTATAATTATTGGGAAATAATACACTGCAAATAATTCTTTAAATCCTTAAGCCCATTTTCCAAACAATCGAAGTATTAACAACGGAAATGAAATAGTTATGAAATATAATAGGTTGGAAAGGATCGAAATTTATAGCACTGGTGGGCAATTCATAGCACAATTATGTAAGCTGACTTCACGCGAGCATTTATGACTGATTCACATAGAACTTTTGCTTCGCTTTGCGTCTTTGAAAAAAAGTTAGATACTTGACATTAAAGCGAAACGCAGCCAGGCGAAGCAAAATGTTTAGCAACTTTTGTCTTTTTACGCTTTGCCAAACAATGGTCTTTAATTTTTTTAGAGAAGATGAAAGTAAAGCGTTCATTCTGAAATATTCTTTGCTTCGTTGTCAAATTATGAATTATTAAGAAGAGCGAAGAAGTTGTATGTGAATGGTCAAATCACTCCAATCGCCTACATAAATTTGATAGTTCTCTGGATAGGGTAATTTGCCGTTTAGCAATTGAAACGACTGGAACGTCCGGGTTGAAATCGTAACAAATATAGTTAAGGGGTCAGTAGGATAATCTTTTTTTTATATTTTATTTTTTTTTTTTTTTGCATTTTCTGTTCCCTTATACCCTTAGAATTAATGTAGAAACCCACTTTACCATTGGAAGTTTTCGAAAAAGGCCCAAAAATAAGAATACCGCTCGACGTTCGTAGCGCTCGGAGTGCACAGCTCGAGCTTTAAACGCGTTTTTCTCAAAACTGGCGGACATGATTCCGGTCGAACTATTCAACCGATTTGCTTAATTTTTTTTTTAAAGTTCACAAAACGCCTGGCTATCATCCCTATATTTTTAATAATTTATTGACAAAGTTATGACAAAATGTATGTAAAAACATGGGAAACAATTAAAAAAAGTTAATTGGTTTTTTATTTATCAACATTTTTTCATGATTCTAGTAGGGACGATAACTATTTACGTACTTTTTAAGAATAGATTGGGTTTTTGTGTTTCAGATGATCTAAACATGAGAAATCGTGTCTGCCAGAGAAAAATCCCATCTCATTCACCCAGCCATTTCTCCGACAGATGTCATCAAAAAATTCCGAAAAAATTTGTTTATACACCCCACGATATACTGTGATGATATGCATATGATATATGAAAAAAGTTCTATTTTAGAATAAAAATATTATATCTATGAAAAAAAATTTCAAAAAAACAGGACAGATTACCCTACTGACCCCTTAAATTTATTTTTATTGTTGTTTTTTGTTTGATTTATTGTATTAATTTTCTATTCAAAGCGATAGAAAAAACTTTTATTATTTCAATGCACTTTTTTAACGTCTTCATACGTCAACGATTAATATACGTATAATAATTTTTAATCGTAATAAGTGTTGAGATTTTTTTATTAAAATGGCGAAAAATTATTATACTATTATCTGGCTAAATGCTTAATGTTACAAAAAATGTAAACACTAATTTTGGACACCTTAACTTTGGAAAGATTTTGCTACATTTTTAGCTATGACATATTTTCACTTTTAAATGTTAATTTAATTTTATTTAATATTGTTACGTTTCCTTAACTAGATAAATATAAAAATATTCACAAGTATGTGCATGTACATATATATTTTCAATCCGCAAACACGCGCACGAAAAAAAAAAACGAATTGAAATTTTAATTAAGAAGACATTCTGCCGCTATTTGTAAATTTACTTATCATATATATTTATAAACTGACAATTCTATATCTATAATATAAGGCCATGACATTATCACATTATGTGATGAAGATTTAATGCGGTAAATTTCATTATATTTCATTAATCATTTAGCTGACTTCATTATATGAAATTAATTAAGGTCCAACCAGATAATGTATATCATATTTACGTATTGTGTTTTTAATTATGAACAACTAGCATACCAAACAAAAAAATATCCATTTGCATTTTCTACAACGAAAATATTTAATTCCCACTCCAAATTATTACACTGGTCAACACTAGTTTTAGTGCCAAGAAACTGTATTAATTTATTAACTTTGGACTTTATTCTGATTACATACACACCAAAAATTTCGACTTCGTACGTGTACTTTTCTAAATATTTGCATCTACAAAAAAAAAAAAAAAAAATTTATAAAGGAAAACAGCATTTATTAAATTATCATGTATACAAAAATTTTCTTTTTCGCGACTTTCGTGAATGAAAAGTATTAGAACATTACCGTTGAATACTCTAGCAGTAGTCAGTCATCATATGCCGATCCCATTGACCTTGATAACTCTTTTCCATGATCTTAAGATCCTGGTGAAATCCTCCCCTTGTTCTTCGCTATAGGATCCAAGGTTCTCTGGAAATTGATCCAGATGACTGTGGAAGTAGTGCACTTTGATGGACATATTACATCCTAAGTTCTTAAAGCTCTTTAGCATATCATTTACAATTAGTAAATAGTTGTTTGACTTATGATTTCCAAGAAAGTGTTTAGTAACGCTAACAAATGAAGTCCACGTCTGTGGACCATCAAAAATTCATACATTTAAGTTTTCTGTACTTAGATTGGCAATTTTTCTTGATGTTTAAGAAAAACATTGTCCTTTTTTATCTAGTGCCTTAACAAACTGTTTCATTAGGCCTAGTTTTTTGTGCAAGGGTGGCAATAAAATTTTATTCCTTGAAACCAAAATTGAGTTGATGACTACCCTACCTCCATCTTGTCACGTACAGGCCAATTTATTTTTTCCCCAGTGTTGATGCTTGGCACGACTATCCCACAGACAATAAAAACATGGGTATTTGGTGTATCCACTCTGCAGTCCTAATATGAAATTGAGCACTTTAATATCAACACTAATACACCATAGGTGTTCGTTATATTTGATTTTGTCTAACACGAGCAAGTAGAACTGACCAATATTTGTGGCCATTAGACACATTTCAGGCTTCGTTTAGAGCTGTCTATGAAGAGGTGCCATTCACTTGACTGATATTTTACAAGACCCATTTCGAGAATAAGGCCTTTAATCTCTGAAAAAAAAAAACAATATCATTTTCCGAATGACAAAATGCAGCAGGTCTTGCTCTCTTATACGACAAAAAGTCACTTTTGCGCCTTTCGCTAACAAGTTTTTTTCTTTTAATCTCGAAGCCAACACTTCCGCAGATTCTTTAGGTAACTCAAAATACCTTACCAAATCATTCAATTCATTTTGAGTAACAGACTTTGGTTCTGTAAACACTATGCCTTCAAAATCCCTGTCGCTACTCACATTATTGTTTTCTTGTGATGGACTCGGTTCCTGTGATAATTCACAGGTAGAACAAAATGTTGGAACAGGTACTTCCTCTGAATGTGGCAAAGGTCTACTAGCCGATTCTAAGTCTGGGTAAATAATTTTTTTTAACGTTAACGCCGCAACGTTGCAAATTAACACAGCAGAAGTAACTGCCATCAAAGTGATTTGGTTTTCTCCATTGCGTAGGCATTATGAAAAATAAATTAAAAATAATTTAGTTTTATCAGTTGATCGTTGACACTATCTCTGCACCAATGTTTTTCTTTTTGTGGCCCAGTGTTATAATTACAAATTTAAATGGATATTATATTTGTTTGGTATATTAGTTGTTCATAATTAAAAACACAATTATTTTTATATCTCAACCATACTTTTTTACTATACTATTATACGAGTATTAAAACTAGATATCATTATGTTGTAAGTTAAAACAGAAGCTTTACAATAAACATATATTATATTTTGAACACTATTTTCATACGAAAACGATTTAAAGGAAACCAAACCAGCAATGGTTCTAATAACAACTCTAGAGCAGTGAAGATAACTGTGCGAGCTCTAATTTAGAATTGTAGAACATGAAGTACGTAATCTCGATTAAATGTTAATTCTAAAACAATTAAACGATTTTTTAATTTATTAATTCTTTATTATATACTTTGGATGTTTTTTTTTCCAAACCGTATTTGGGGTTACTAAAAAAAGTCTTACTTAATTACATATACTTCTTGAACAGAGTATATTAAGTTTGTTAGGAAGTTTGTAACACAAATAGGGAAATGTGCTATTTTATGAATTTTTAAATTTTAATTCAATTGTGTTTGCATCAATAATGCCACCAATTACAAAGAAAAAGCATACATTTCTAACAAAGTTCTGAATAAACTAAATTGAGGTCGCTTGCAAAAGTGTTCAATGTCAGCAAAACTACAATTTCCCAAACAAAGTTCAAAAGGTTAAAGCTTGATAAGTACGATATTTTGAATGAGCTTCTCAAATATATTTGCATTTTTCGAAGTTATATTGCCAGAACAGAAAGCGGCCTTGGTAAACACAAAACTATTTGATTGCTTAATACCGTCGGACAAGTTTATAATACAATTTTAGAAGAAGTTGCCAGAAAATATGCTTGAGTTTCATACTGAAAAATCCACACCAAAAATGGTTTATTGCAAGGCAACTGGAGAGCATAAACTGAATTTATTTATGATCGGAAAAGGGAAAAATCCAAAGCGTTTAAAGACTGCAGCTACCACTAGATTGTGCCAACACCAAAAATGCTTTAATGAGATTTTTATACTCTCGCAACAATGTTGCTAAAGAGAGTATTATAGTTTTGTTCACATAACGGTTGTTTGTAAGTCCTAAAACTAAAGGAGTCAGATATAGGGTTATATATATCAAAATGATCAGGGTGACGAGTAGAGTTGAAATCCGGATGTCTGTCTGTCCGTCCGTTGTGAACCGATTTCACCC